AACATGGAACAAGAAAATACAAAGCAATGCTACCAAAAACATGAAAATGAATTACCCTCCCAATCTATCTAAATCATAACAAAGGACAAATGACATTCATATTAACTACATTCTGGGCAAAATAAAAACACTAGACTCAGCAAAGCAGCTACGTGGAGAAAACAAATTAGCAAAATACCCAACATGATAACAGATTATAAACATAGAAATCACGTTCCATTCAGCACAATACAATACGGATTCAATTAGCCGATTAATAATCACGCCAACGCAACTCTCACATAGCACAGAATGAACCCAGTCTTTGATCCCCATTTATCAGAAAAATCACAAACTGATTTCTAATTAATCAATAATAGTAATCCAAACCAATTCAAAAAACAACTAGATTAATATAAATGTTTCCTCCTAAAACACCACACAAATACAACTTGCCATTTTCAAGCACAACTCGCCAAACCCAAGAAAACCCAGATCAGCAAAAACGCAAAATACTGACCTGTAAAAAACTGAGGGAACTTCACAGGCAAAATAACAGCTTCTTGCAAAGCCTGTTTAGCACTCTCAAGCCCAGCCACATCATTCCACTTCCAATTAGGCTTTTCCCTCACAATCGCCGAATTCAATCCAGCTCTCAACTTATCTTTCTCCGGATCATCCCCATCCTCGCCATCTTTAGGCTTAGTCTTTGGCCTCGTTGCAACAGCAGCATCCCCATTAGAATTAGGGCCAGGACCTCCTTCATCAAGAACAGTCCTGATCTCCTCCGCCCGACGAAGATACTCGGTGAATTTCTGAGTAATAGCTTCACGAATTTTAGGGTTCTTCTCGTATTTCAAGTGGGTCTTGAAGTATTCAAGTGCGTTCATGTATAAAGGAAACGCCTTCGAGTAATTCCCTGCATTGTCTTCTTGTACCGCTTGTTTCACGTACTCTATTGCTTGTTCTTTGAAATTGCTGTACATAGCTAGGGTTTGGTTTTGATTCGATTTATGAGAGGATTGATGATGGCGATTGCATGAGAGATTCCAATTTTGGAGACAAAGTTTTAACCCTGGAAATGAGGGATTTTGTTGATTGGAGAGACCGGGGATGGGATATTTGAGAGGAGGGAGGGGTTGGAGATGAGGAAAAGGAAGGAAGGAGGAAAGGAATGAAGGAAGGAAGGTTACGATCTAAATCTTAGGTTTGCTAAGCTCACCGATGACTCGTTTGCGAGTCAATGATGGCCATGGTGAATTTAAAAAATAAATAAATAAAATCTATTTAGCATTGAAAAATTGAATTTGTTGCCCCCTTCAAAATTTGAAGAGGTAATTTCATGTAAGCCCTCGATTTACATAAAAAAAAAAAATCTCAATTGGATTTAAAGGTATATAAGTCTAATTGTGTGTTTATTTTTGTTGTATGATCTGTTTTTAAATTTTTTTATTTTAAAAATATTAAATTCATTTTATTTATATATTTTGATATAGAAATACTACAAATTAAAAAATATAAAAAAATTAATATATTTTAAATTAAAAAATTATATAAAAAAATTGCAATGCATTACTAAGTATACAATAAGTATAGATGGGATAACCATAAAATAATAATAATGATAATAATAAATCCCATATAATTCAATTATCAACTACATCATATCCAACAAATTTCAAACTAATCATTGATATACATGAAAAAATTAAAATTTTATATCCATAAAGATTTTTATAACAGGGTGATTTGATTCGCACTTCATTTATAATCTTATTATAACCAGAATCAAAAAAAAAAAATTATGTTTATAAACAGAACAAAAGTTAGATTTGTTATTATTTTTTTCTGTTTATAAACAGAACAAAAGTTAGATTTGTTCACTTAATTTAATTCCGGAAGCACAAGATGCATCTATCATAAGGTGCCCAAACGGCGCCTTCTTCATAATTCCCGTTCAAGTTTTGGATTTATCTTCTTTCAGTGTAATGAACATGGAATAAAAAAATACAAAGCAATGCTGCCAAAAACATGAAAATGAATTACCCTTACACTGTATCTAAATCATAACAAAAGACCAGTGACATGCATTGAGTAAAAAAAATAAAACATTAGGGTGTTTTCCAGTAGCAAAATTCATACTTCGCATTTTACTATGAAATTATTTTTTATTTTTTTATTTAATCCTCAAATTTATTTATTTTTTTGCGACTAGATCTTTTTTGGCCAAATTCAATAGCAATTAAATCAAATCTGTTGGCTAGAGATGAAGTTGAAAAATAAAGAATGAAAACAGAAAAAATATTATAAATGGATAATGGTTTTAAAATTCATACAAAATATTTAATTTAATTCTCGTATTTTAAAAACAATAAATACTCACTATCTTAATATTTTATTAATTTAATTTTAATATAAAAAATTATTTTTATCCTTTTTAAATCCCTAACTTCAGAGAAAAGAGAGTGATTGCCAGATTATAATATAGAGAGAAAAAAATATTGTTGACACTAATTTCGACTACTAAAATATTTGGTTGATTTCAGGTTTTTGGATTATTTTATTTGGTTTTTTAGGTTATGGATAGATATATCACATTTTATATGGTGTTTTTAAAGTGTTTTGAGTAAAAAAAGAAATGAAAATAGATTTTTAAGTAAAAAAACTTTCTACCCTAAATTTTTTGCCATGATAGTTATCGGATTGTTCTAGAAAAATTAGATGATGCATCGTCTAAATTTTTTATAAAAAAAAAAACTAGAGTGGATGACATAATGAACAAAAAAAAGTCTAGGAACGCAAATATGTGAAATGGGCCTGATAGGCTGACCAAGCAGTGTCTGATCTTTTTTATATATATATTTTTCAAAAATATTGTTTTATTTATATCAAGATTAAAACTCATTCTCTCTTATATTTTATTTATAGAGCTTCTTTTTAAATGACAGTTATTTTTTGTTATTTTGTATATATTTGATTGTTTAAGAGGTTTTTTTTTATTTATCCATTTTTTTATATATTTTGTGTGCAAAGATTTTATTTTTAAAAATAAAAAATATGTATTTTCAAATGATATTTTTAATATGTGCAGTTTGCATTATATTTTTTCCCTTTTTATTCTATTCAAACAATTTAATATATGTATTTATTTATATTATTGTGTAAAAAAATATTTTTTATTAATAAATTTAGCAAACACAATCAGATAAATATCTTATCATACAAGATTAAATGTCTTGATTTACACCTATATCTTGATTTTTTCTATTTTTTTTATTTTTTTTTTATTTTTTTTTATTTTATTTATTAACACGTATAATTTTTAATTTATTTGATTGCATGTATGCATAAGTTTTTTTTATTTTTATTGTGTTTTTTTAACTACAAAAACATATCAAAAAAGCTATTTATTAGTAAATATCTTTATTTCAAATTACTTTTGTATTTGATACTATTAGTGTGTAATATTAGAGAAGGCAACTATAAAATTATGCTGGTAACGAGACAAAGGGATATAATAGGAGTTTAAAGACATCTAGGATATTTATTAGTAAACTAAAAGCAACTTAAAAGAAGTCATTGACCTAATTATGAAAATAAAGGTATTAAATTACAATTTCATTTAAAATGAAAAGACTAGATTTACACCACACTCATTTTATAATTATTATTAGCATATAGTAGAAGGTCTTGAAATTTAAATATTATGATGAAAAGTGAAATACTTTGACTTTTTACTATTTAATCCTCAAAATTTATTAAAAAGTTTTGGCATTTCATTATAGCAATAAATAATAAAATACTTTGGATTTTTATAATATGATCCTTAATGTTTTTTAATTTTTTAATTTATCTTTTTACAAATTTATAATTCAACATTTGTTTTAATGAAAACTGAATTTTATAATTTATTTTAATTTATTTTTTATATAGTTATTTTGGTCTTATAATTTAAGTTTGACATGTTATATGGGTTGACTTGGATTTTTTTTTTATTATTTATAATTGATTTTTAATCAACTTTATATATTAAAATTAAGTTGATAGAGAGTTTGACTTCATATATTTTTTTTATCTGCTTTATATAAAGTTATCACGGTCTTATTATCCATATCGCAAGTTTTATGGGTTACTTAAGTTGGTTCAGTTTTTTTATTTTTTATTTTTTATTTCTTCTTTTAATACCTAGTTAATTGAGAATTAAACTTCATAATTTATTTTGAGTTAATTGGGAATTAGACTTCATAATTTATTTTGATCTGTTTTCTATGAAGTTATCTTAGCCTCATAACTTCGGTTACAAGTTTGGTCGATTACCTCGAGTTGACCAAGGTAGTTTTTTTATTTTTATTTTATTTTTTAATTTTATCATTTAATATTGAGTTGACTAAGAATTAAGCTTCATAATTTATTTTAATTTTCTTTATATGTGGTTATCCTAGCTTTATGACTAAATTTTTGCAGGTTAACCCAAGTTGATTAGACTTTTTTTTCTATTTGAATTTTTTAATTTTATCATTTAATATTAGATTGATTAATGGTTAAGCTTAATGATTTTTATTTTTTTATAAGGTTATGAAAGTTTCATGATCTGGATTAAAGACTTGACATATTAATTTAATTTGATCTAATTAAATTTAAATTGATCCAAGTAAATTCAAATAGATTCAAAATGTTTTAGACTCAATATTAAAAACATAATATTATTATAATTTTTCTAGTCAAGTTATATTTTTATTAATAATTTAAATTGTTTTTAGATATACAAACTCAATGTTATATCCAGCTGATCATCATATAATTTAATATTTTTATGCTAAAAAGGACATTGATATTTTTTTTGTCAAACCAAAATTTAATTGGACCGCACGGGTAATTATCTAGTGTTAACTGCATTCTGAGCAAAATAAAAACACTACTCGCAAAGCAGCTGCGAGGAGAGAACAAATTAGCAAAAGACCGACACTATAATGGATCATAAACATAGAAATCAAATTCCATTCAGCACAATACAACACGGAGTCAATTAGCCAGTTAATAACCGCACCAACGCACTCCCACGTAGCCCAGAATGAACCCTGTCCCCGTTTATCATGCAAATCACAAACTAATCTCTGGTTAGCAATCCAAACCAATTCACAAAACAACTCGCATAATATAAATGTTTCCTCCTAAAACACCTCACAGACACAAGTTCCCGATATCAAGCACCACTCGTCAAACCCAAGTCAGCAAGAACGCAAAATACCGACCTGTAAAAAGCCGAGGGAACTTCACAGGCGAGATAACAGCTTCTTGCAAAGCCCGTTTAGCACTCTCAATCCCAGCCACCTCACTCCACTTCACATCAGGCTTTTCCCTCTCAATCGCCGAATTCAATCCAGCTCTCAACTTTTCTTCCCCGGATCATCCCCATCCTCGCCATCTCCAGGCTTAGTCCTCGGCCTCCTCGCAACAGCAGCATCCCCATTAGAATTAGGGCCGGGACCTCCTTCATCAGGGACAGTCCCGATCTCCTCCGCTCGACGAACATAGTCGGCGAATTTTTTAGTGATAGCTTCACAAATTTTATGGTTCTTCTCTAACCGGTTGATTTGATTTGCAGGGAAACAAGATTCTGCTAAGAATACAAAAACATGAATGTGCCTTCAATAATCTCATGGATAACACGGTACTGCTGCGGACATAAACACTCTTCTGTGGAATGAATGATTTGTACAAGCATTTGATTTTATTTGTGTTTTGATTAGATGGTGGAAGTGAATTGAATTTATAAAATAATAAATAAATACGGAAACTTGCTGACGTATTACTCTTTAAAATTTTAATTATGTTGGATAAATCAAACTCAATGGAGGGTAATTTTAATTTTAATTATGTTAAATAAATATGGACAAAAATGAAAATATTGTTACTATGATCATTAACCAATAAAAAGAACTGCAGTGAGACGGTATTTTATCATGGCTGGTACAAAAATGCACCATTTATAAAATCTGTTGTATATTGTTCATCAATGCTCTCCATGATATTGTTCTGATAAAAAAAATTAAAATATTTTTTACTTTAGCATTAACCATATTCAAAAGTTTTTTTTTTTCTTGGGTTATTGATAGTACTTTGTATGGTTAATTTTTTACAACAAATTTGGAGCAGCTCTTCAATACCGATGCCCTGGTTTTTGGATTTCTCTTACCTTTACATTTGAACAGGAAGATCGAAGCATGTCATCGGTAAGATCTTAGCTGGCAGTGTTTCTGATGCCCTGGTTTTTCCATTGTCTCTGTTTCTATCAAAGCATCAAGGAGTTGTTCACCGATAGAGACCCATGTCGTCACTGATGAAGAGATTCCTGATCGATTCAATTCAAGTGGACATGAATTTTGGATCCAAATAGGTCACATGTCTAGATCCCTTTATAGGGATGACGGTGACTTTCCAAATAGGTCTATTCAAACAAATACACTTTAAATCACTGCCCACGTCTAAGATGGGCTGATAATTGTTTGTTTTTTTTAAAAAAATATTTTTAAAAATTTAATTTTTTTATTTTTTATTTTGAATTAATATTTTTTTAATGTCAAAAATAATTTTTTAAAAATAAAAAAATTTATTTTAATATATTTTTAAATAAAAATACTTTAAAAAATAATTACTACCACCTATTTACATATCCTATAAATTAGAAAAAAAAAACATGAATTTGTCTGTTGAGGGGTTCTTCTCAGTAAAACATAAAAATAAGTGGGGCAAGGTATGGGTATAAGTTCAAAGATGGGAGCGGATAAAAAAAATTAAATCAAATTAATTTTTTGAAAATAAAATTGAATTTAAGTGAATTTAAAAAAATAATCAATTTGATTTAATTTATAATTTTTTTTAAAAAAATTAACTGAATAATTTAAAAAATAACTAGAATTATTCAAGAAATTTTACTATGTTAATAGAATAATTAGTAGTAGTTTATTAGTTAATCATAGAAACTATTTTTAAAAAAATAGATACAGCTATAAAGAAAGAAACGCTAAATATAAATATTCTTATTATTTTTTATGGGTTATGGTTTATTTTATTTTTTTATTATCTTGGTTCCTTTTAAAGAATAACTAATAAGATATTAATAATTACTATCTCAACTATAATTTTTTTTGGATTATACTAATTTGTTTTTTAAAAAAATATTTGATTTCATTAATTTCATCATCCATAAGACAACTTGCAAAACAAATTGAACACCCACCTTGAACTCTAATTGGTTTTGTCGTTTCAATCCTAACATTGCAAACACATGAAAAAAATCTAAATCTAAACCTTTAATTTGTACACATTCAATGTTTCTAGCAGCAGCATCTTTATGCGACGCGTAAATAGAAATGGTCCAACTTCAACAACTCATCCTTAAATTTTTTTTTAAAAAGGACATAATTCCTAACAGTAACCTTATTAAAAAAAAAGGACATAATTCCTAACAGTAACCTTAATTAATTCACCCCTGAATATACGTGACTTAAACGGCTTCTCCAACATCTTGACGGCTACAATTTTCTTCCTAAATCTTAATTATCACGATATAAAGAGAATCAACATTTCTCTAACCTTAAAGAAAACCGACGGAGACAGAGAGAGGAAAAAAAGAGGAGGTGTTTGGGAATCCTCTCTAAAACAGGATTCCTTTTCCCTTTCCATACCAGAAGTTCTTCCCTTCTCTTCATATATAATTTCAACCCTCTTTCTTTCTCGTTGCCTTTTGCTTTTCCCTCGAATTCAAAACAGGTAATATGTTTGATTTCTTGTAGCCGAGCGCATCTAGCGTTGTTGTTGTCTGTTTCTAAATCTTTTTTCTTTTTGTGTTAGATCAAAACAAGGAAATCAAGAAATCTTGAAAGACAATGGCAGAAGAACAACACAGATGCCAAGAACCACGTCTCTGCGTAAACAACTGCGGTTTTTTTGGAAGCCCAGCAACTCAAAATCTGTGTTCTAAATGTTATGGTGATCTTCGTCGATCACAGCCCCTGAATCAGCTCCTAGCCCCATCATCATCTGCTTCTGTTTCTTCCTTTTCATCCCCAATCGTCGATGTTATAAAGAACCAGATAGCTCCTGTGTTGGTGGTGGAAGGTGATGAAAAGGGGGAGTTTAAGGCTGAACCTACGGTTGTGGTTCCACAGCAGAAGCCAAACAGGTGCTTGACATGTAGGAGGCGCGTAGGGTTGACGGGATTTAATTGCAGGTGTGGTATGGTGTTTTGTGGAACACATAGGTACCCAGAACGACATGACTGTGAGTTTGATTTTAAGAGCTTAGGTAAAGAACAGATCGCTAAGGCTAATCCTGTTGTTAAGGGTGAGAAGCTTCAAAAGATTTAATGGGGGTCTCCTACTTGATCTGCAATTTACGAATTCCATCGTGATGTCGGCCGGTGGCGGTGTTAGAAGGAAGTGGTGGTCCTGGGTTTGGTGGCTGTTGGGGGTATTGTTGTAGTTATGTGGTTTGTGTAAATTTCAATTATTTAATGATAATATTTTAGTATTTTCCTTTTTAGAAAAAAAATCACTTGGGTTGTTCATTTTTATTGAATAATTTGGGGTGCTGATTGAAATGAGAATATTATATCGTTTTTTTTTTTTTTTGAACTTGGAATGGTGTATTGGTTTAATTTAATATGGTTGGCTGGAGGGTGATGATTTTATTTAATGGGTATAGGAAAGATATTAAATTGGTCCGCCGCCCGCCATGATTTTTTCTTCTTCTATGCTAATCATAAAATTATCAAATTGATTATTTTTAATAAAAAAAAAAATCAACCAATTAAGCAATTTAAAATAATCATGAAATTATTATAATTATCTAATTAAAAGAGATGATCAAATATTTTATGTAGTTTGTTTTCTATTTTGTTGTATAATCATGTATACTTTACGTCGATAAACATAATTTATATATAATTAAATTATCAAATAATAATATTTTCTTTTATTTTAAATTTCTACGCGGTATGAACATGTTAGTTATTTTATTCTAAATGTCAGCTTTCGATCATTTGATGTACGGTTTCATGTCTTTCGTCCAGTCTTTTTTTAATACACTTTGTTCTTAATACTTCTCTCTCTATCTACCATCTTGTTTCTTATATTTTTCAATTATATATGAATTCATGATTCATCGATTCATGTTCCTTTAATCTAAATTTGTTTTGTGGATTGCAAATATACAATAAGCTTAATCTAAATTTTATCTATAAACCAATTAAGATTGTCGGTTGCCGATGATTAATTTGATAACACAAACAAGGCTATAAATACATGTCAAGCTTGTCAAAACTAAAATTATCATGGGTTCGAATGAATATGTTAAGGAAATAATCAAAGTAAATAATATTAATTATTTAATTATAAGAAATCAAAGAATTAAGCAAGTTGTAACAATTAAAAAATGATGATTTCAATTATCCAATCAAAGAAAATGAATAAAATTTGTATATAATATATTTTATTTTATTCCTGTATATGTTTTAATTGTTGCGTAGCTACAACTCATATACAATCAACTAATAACCGAGTAAATTAAGTTTAATGGTGGTCGATGTATGTAAATAATGTCCCATTTCGAAGCTAGTTGCTAATTTTACTTTTTAACATGGACATTAATGCCGATCCAAAAAAAGAAAAAAAAAGTTGTATTTTATGTTTTGCCCTTTTTTTTCCTTTCTATTTTTTTCATGATAGTTATTAAGCAATTTTTTTAATAAAAAATAGAAGAATTATGCCTTTTTTTCCTTTCTATTTTTTTTTTACATGATAATTATTAGGCAATTTTTTGAATTAAAAAAAATTCAACTAAAAAGTTTTAGAAGAAACAACGTAGTCTCGATCTCTCGATTTTTTTTTTATGATAGCTTTAGTAGTCACAGTTCATTAGCAAAGATTACTACCATGCAATATATATCAAGGGCTTGCAGTGGAAGACTATAAATTTTAGATATGGATGCAGTGATTTTTCATTAATTTTCAGTGTAAAAAAATATTCCTCTTTCCTAGGAGAGCAAGAAGAAATGGACGAAACGTGAAACCACATGAAGAAAAAGAAAAAAGAGAAAAGGAAAAGGAGGTAAAACAAAGTCAACTGCATTTCCTGTTTGGGTCCCATTTGAATCCGCTTTGCATCAATTTTTTTATATTCTTTTAAGTTAATTGTTTTTAAGAATTTTAAATTTTTTTAATATATTGTTGTTAAAAATAATTTTTTAAAAAAATTATATTAATATATTTTTAAATAAATATTAAAAAACATCTACCAAACTCCCAAATATATCATCAAGAAAAGAGTTTACAATAAACTATTCAAAGCACATTTAGCAATGGTGTACTGTTCTACCAAACCAGGCCTTAAATTAACAGTAAATTCAATTAGCAATTTCTCATATTCAATGATCAAGAAATATAATCTTCTTAAATATATATATATATATATATATATATATATATATATATAGTTTCAGCTAAGTGACACAATCAAAGAGTTAATATTTTCTATCAAGCGTAAGAATGTCAAAATAATAAATAACTCGGTAAGACTAGCATTGAATAGTAGGGAGGTTAACTATATAAACTACAAATAAAAAAATAGATAATAACAAAAAAGAAGT